ATGTCCTCCGTGTTATTTATTATGCTCCGCAAATAAGTGAAACCATGTGATAATTGACTGTCTCTGCTTGACTTATTTCACTCAGCATAATCTCTTCCAGTCCCATCTATGTTGATACAAAAGTTGGGTTTTCATCCTTTCTGATGGAGGCATAATACTCCATAGTGTATATGGACCACATCTTCCTTATCCATTCGTCCATTGAAGGGCATCTTGGTTCTTTCCACAGTTTGGCGACCGTGGCCATTGCTGCTATAAACATTGGGGTATAGATGGCCCTTCTTTTCACTACATCTGTATCTTTGGGGTAAATACCCAGTAGTGCAATTGCAGGGTCATAGGGAAGCTCTATTTTAATTTCTTTCTTTCTTTTTTTTTTTAATTTTTAATTTCTTAAGGAATCTCCACACTGTTCTCCAAAGTGGCTGCACCAACTTGCATTCCCACCAACAGTGGAAGAGGGCTCCCCTTTCTCCACATCCTCTCCAACACACATTGTTTCCTGTCTTGCTAATTTTGGCCATTCTAACTGGTGTTAAGGTGGTATCTCAATGTGGTTTTAATTTGAATCTCCCTGATGGCTAGTGATGATGAATATTTTTTCATGTGTGTGATAGTCATTTGTATGTCTTCGTTGGAGAAGTGTCTGTTCATATGTTCTGCCCATTTTTTGATATGATTATCTGTTTTGTGTGTTTTGAGTTTGAGAAGTTCTTTTTAGATCCTGGATATCAAACTTTTGTCTGTACTGTCAATTGCAAATATCTTCTCCCATTCCGTGGGTTGCCTCTTTGTTTTGTTGACTGTTTCTTTTGCTGTGCAGAAGCTTTTGATCTCGATGAAGTTCCAAAAATTCATTTTCGCTTTTGTTTCCTTTGCCTTTGGAGACATATCTTGAAAGAAGTTGTCGTGGCTGATATCAAAGAGGTTACTGCCTATGTTCTCCTCTAGGATTCTGATGGATTCCTGTCTCACGTTGAGGTCTTTTATCCATTTTGAATTTATCTTTGTGTACGGTGTAAGAGAATTGTCGAGTTTCATTCTCTCGTGAGCGTGAATATAGCTGTCCAATTTTCCCAGCACCATTTATTGAAGAGACTGTCTTTTTTCCACTGTATATTTTTTCCTGCTTTGTCGAAGATTATTTGACCATAGAGTTGAGGGCCCATATCTGGGCTCTCTACTCTGTTCCACTGGTCTATGTGTCTGTCTTTATGCTGTCTTGGTGATCACAACTTTGTAGTAAAGCTTGAAATCAGGTAACGTGATACTCCCAGTCTTATTTTTGTTTTTCAACATTTCCTTTGTGATTCGGGGTCTCTTCTGATTCCATACAAAACTATAAACTCCCAAAATTGAACCAGGAAGAAATTGACCACCTGAATAAACCGATATCTAGTAATGAGATTGAAGCAGTGATCAAAAACCTCCCAAAAAAACAGAGCCCAGGACCTGATGAATTCCCTGGGGAATTCTACCAAACTTCCAAAGAAGAAATAACACCAATTCTCCTGAAGCTGTTTCAAAAAATTGAAGCAGAAGGAAAACTTCCAGACTCTTTTTATGAAGCCAGCATTACCCTATCTGCAAACCAGGCAAAGACCACACCAAAAAGGAGAATTTCAGACCAATATCACTGATGAATATGGATGCTAAGATTCTCAACAAGATCCTAGCAAACAGGATCCAACAGCACATTAAAAAGATTATCTACCATGACCAGGTGGGATTCATGCCTGGGTTACAAGGATGGTTCGGCATTCGCAAATCAATCAATGTAATAAAACAAATCAATAAGAGAAGAGAGAAGAACCACATGATCTTCTCAATTGATGCAGAAAAAGCATTTGACAAAATCCAGCATCTGTTCCTGATTAAAACCCTTAAAGTATAGGGATAGAGGGAACATTCCTGAACTTCATAAAATCTATCTATGAAAGATCCACAGCAAATATCATCCTCAATGGGAAAAAGCTCACAGCCTTCCCATTGAGATCAGGAACATGACAAGGATGCCCACTCTCACCACTCTTGTTCAACATAGTATTAGAAGTCATAGCAACAGCAATCAGACAACAAAGAGAAATAAAAGGTATCGAAATTGGCAATGAAGAAGTCAAACTCTCTCTCTTCGCAGATGACATGATACTTTATATGGAAAACCCAAAAGACTCCACCCCAAAACTACTAGAACTCATACAGCAATTCAGTTACGTGGCAGGATACAAAGTCAATGTACAGAAATCAGTGGCTTTCTTATATACTAACAATGAAAATACAGAAAGGGAAATTAGAGAATCAATTCCATTTACTATTGCACCAAGAACCATAAGATACCTGGGAATAAACCTAACCAAAGAGGTGAAGGATCTGTACTCGAGGAACTACAGAACATTCATGAAAGAAATTGAAGAAGACACAAAAAGATGGAGGACCATTCCATGCTCTTGGATCGAAAGAATAAACATTGTTTAAATGTCTATACTGCCTAGAGCAATCTATACTTTTAAGGCCATTCCGATCAAAATTCCACCGGTATTTTTCAAAGAGCTGGAGCAAATAATCCTAAAATTTGTATGGAATCTGAAGGGTTTTTTTTTTAAATAAACTATGGTAGGTGAGTTTATGGAGTTGATATTAATATACTACTTAGAATTTGAGGGATTAGGAATGAAGGAGGAAAAAAAAACAGATCAAGCTTTCTGTAGTGAAGACTAATATGTTTCTATTTCAGCTATTATCCCAATTTATATTTTTTACTTTTACTTCACAGTAAGAAGAAGACACTAGGTTCAAACTCTGTTCTCAGAATCCAGTTTCTAAAACTATACATTAATATCTCTTGTATTAGCTTCTTTTTGCTGCTCTAAAAAATTACCACAAACTTAGTGGCTTAAAACAATAGAAATTTATCCTCTTATGATCCCGGAGGTCAAATTCTCAAATGGGTTTGTAGGGCTGTATTTCTTCTGGAGGCTCCAAGGGAGATTAGGTTTCCCTGCTCTTCTCGTCCAGAGGCTGCCTGCATACTTTGGTTCATGGCTCTCTTTCTCTACCTTCAAAGCCTGCACTGGAATGTCTTAAAATCTCCTTCTTCTTTCTTGGATCCTCTGCCTCCCTCTTTTAAGGACCTTTGTGATTACATTGAGGGCCACCCAGATAACCCAGGATAATCTTCCCACCACTAGATTCTTAATTTAACTACATCTGCAAAGCCTGGTGCCATATGAGGTAACATTCACAGGCTCCGGGGATTAGGGCATGGATATCTTTGGAAGCTCATTGTTTAGGCAACCACATATTTCTACAGATTTTCAAAATCATAGCTGAGCCTGCTGATGGAATCCATTACCATTAGGGTCCAGCTTAGTAGCAAATGGTTGTAGCCCAGCAAGCAGCCAGCAGTGTGTACACTGAATATGGCTAATGGGAGCATAAAATATATGTAGAATCTAAAAACATAAACATGATGGAACAAAAGACAGGGAGGAAGTAAACGGAGTGAGCGTTTTCTATGGTTCTTGCATTGCTGGGGAAATAATTGTTCATTGCACGTTAACATGGTAAGGATGCATGTCATCTTTAAAGGAGCTATAAAAGAATGTGTAACAAATAATCTAATAAGAAGAAAAAACAATAGGGACTCCTGGGTGGCTCAGGTGGTTGAGTGTCCAACTCCTGATTTCAGATGAATTCAGGTCATGCTCAGCACAGAGTCTGCTTGAGATTCTCTCTTTCTCTCCTTTTCATTGTGCCCCTCCCCCTGCTCACTCACGCTCGTGCTCTCTCTCTCTCTGTCTCTCTCTCTCTTTAAATAAATAAATAAAATCTTTTTTCATTCTCAAAATGAAGGCAAAAGAGAAGAGCATAAGGAACGTAGGAAAGAAAAGACAGATAAAAATCAAATAATAAAATGATGGATCTAATCATGAATATGTAAACAATTACAGTAAATATAAATAGACAATTCAACTTTACAAACAAAGATTAGTGGAGTGTTGCATTTCCCAAATCATCAGCTGATGTGCCCTGGGAACCTCCAGCATCTCAGAGGAGAACCATGGGCTTTAAATTTTTGGTGGAAAAACAATTCTGGATATTTCTCAGATACTGTGCAACCACTGGCTCCCAATAGGCCTTGGCTACATTAGATTGCAGTAGAATTCCTTTATTTTTTTTTTAGTAGGTTCCTCTTGGTGACAACAAATCTTTGCAAAACTGGGCTTTTAGCAGTGGCTGTGATAAAAGTATCAAAAACAATTTTTGTAGAAAAGAAATGAGGTGGTGGATGACAATTCAATTCTATGGTTTGAGAAGTTGAGCAGTGCTCAGCATCCCACTGAGGAATGGTTGACAGGGTCGCCTCAGTTGGTGAAGTGGCTGATTTAGTTCAGGTCATGATTTCAGGTTCCTGGGATCAAGGCCTGCATTGGGCTCTGC